ATTGGATTCTGCTATGTGTAGTTAATTCACTTGATGATGTTAAAGCTGTAGCTAAATCACATAATGTGTGTCAATATCGAACAAATAATCTTAAAGATCATGCAAAGTACTCATTTAAATGTAGTTAATATCGTAAATATTCATTGTGTAATTATGAACTCATAGCAGTTGTACCTGATGATGATCCTAACTCAATTACGGTAATATTCAAAAATACTCAGAATCATAGCGACCGTAACCAAACATTTCGTTTACCTTCTCCACTGCGACAATCTATTTCACAATATGTTCGTGCTGGTTTAACAGAATCTCAAATTCGTTCGTCGCTCTCAATTGATCATGCAGCCATGCCAGTGTCATCAAGCAAATTAGGATATATATTAACAAAAATAAGAATATTGTTTACTTTGTTAATATTTCAATGAACATTGTTTATGTTGTACATTATATTTACTTTGTTGAGAAATAAAAATATGAGATGCATTCTAAAAAATTTGGTGATCAAAAATATCTTTTTTTGGTGATCGTTTGTATCTAACGATTTTTGGTGATCATTTGTATCTAAAAATGTTTGGTGACCAAAAGTATCTTTTTCTGGTGATCAAAAAAATTGGTATCCATAGTCTTTTTATTTTTTCTTCCTTCTATTGCTATTTATCTCTCTCTACATTCTGTTGATCTGAATATAAAATAAATCTAATTCGAACTTCTATTTCTCTTGGTCAACATGCGCATCGATCAACGTTGCTAACCTTTTTCAATCCTTCTCTTCGTGTTATTTTTTCTCGAGCGAGTCATTAGCTGTACAATATAAGTGGAACCATTATGTTTTTTCTTCGCTCTCCGGTGAATAAACTAATTCCAGTGAAAAATATTAATAAAAAAAACACTGGCGAAGAACGTATTTTAATCTACAAATAACCTCTTTTCTAAAAAACTGGGTGTGGGTATGGATGTGGATGAGTGGGTCGTTGTCGGTGTAAATCGTCTCTCCATTCACACCCACCCACAACCACATCATACCCATACCCTCAAGATAGTTTTATTGTCTCAAGAATTCTTACCTTCTTAATTCGATCTAAGATGTAGCTAAAATGAAAAAGAAAAATGATTAATATCACTATTGCAAGAGTTCTTACTTTTTTATTTTTATTTTGAATGAACCTGAAACAGAACAGAATAGGAATTAGTGTTATTATCTCAAATATTCCCACTTTTTTATTACGATTTCAGATGAACTTAAAACAAAAAAAGAACAATTATTAATATTATTATTTAACAGTTCTTACCCCTGCTATTTCCATTTCAAACAAACCTCAAATAGGATAAAACAATGATTAAATTTAGTATTTTACGAGTTCCTACCTTGACATCTCGATTTTCAGTACATCTAAAACATAACAAATGGATAATCAATTTAGTATTCTAAGAGTTCTTACCCTGTTATATTGGTTTCCAATAGGTCTAAGCATACTAAAAGAATGATTATCTTAGTGTCTTAAAGATTCTTACCTTACTATTTCGATGTCTAACAAAAGGCGTCATTTTCTTGTTAAACGTAAATCAATATAAATTACCAGTAACTAAAATTAAAAAACAAACTTAACTTATTTACTTTTTGTAATTAATTAGATTCAAAATCAAGGGGAGGTACCTCCCCTAATATACCCTCAAATTTTGTAAGTTTGTAGGATATGACAGTAAAAAATTGATTTATGATGTAAGAAAAATTCACTTGAAAATCGTCAGAGTAAAGGACATCCTAGAGTCTTGGAATCCAGTCTCGACCCAGTTACAATTTGTCTTGGTTCCGGACCCGACTTCAATGAAATGTAAATTTTTGATTTGGGCCTCGATTTTCGGCGTCTTGAGCGTGACCAGGACTAGTTCCATACATCTCTACTCGAGCTACTTGAGAATCAAGTCAACTCCAAACCCAAATCTCAGTCCAAATCCAAACCTAAATCTATTACAAATCCAAATAATTTCATACAGAACTTGACGGCTCTATACTTATTTCATCCTTGTTGCTCTTTATCGTACACATCCAAGTTGGGTTTGGGTAATTTAAGACCAAATCTCAAGGCTTTGGATTTGTTGCACCCCTACAAACTAGTGGCATAACCAGACGGGGGCTAGAGGGGGCTCAGCCCCCTCTACGAAGGCTTGAGCCCCCTCTAGAAAGATTTTTGGCCTCTCTGACTGAAAGAAATTACCTATGACTCGTGTATTAATAGCAGTATATATATAGTTTATTCACAATAGCAAGCATTTATAACAGAGAGAAGTTCAAATTTTCATGAGATATTTCTTAAAAAATAGTGTAGTGTACAGTTTCCGTGCATTTTGAAAAAATTTCGTTTCACAAATTAGGTTGTTTCTGTAACATTTCGATTTTCTGACTTCTTCTCTTCATTTCAGTTTTGAATATGAAATCGGATTTCATTAATTATGGGAGTGGCTTCGGCAATCAAAGATAATAAATAACATAATTTCTGTGCCTATTACTCCAAAATCACGAGTTCCTATTTGAATGAATTGTACAGTTTCGAGTCAATCATTTTTTTTCTGTTTCGGGAAGCTACCGTCTTCAGCGTTATGTTCTTCTGCAACAAATAATGAATGTTTATTTCTTCTACAATTATTTCAATGTCAAAAAGTGTAAATTTTACTAAGACAAAAAGGTTTTTGCTTCGTGATGTTTCTTTAAAAAAATCCTAGAAAAGAAAAGCAGCGAAAAATAACTTTACAACAGTGCTGCAAAATTTTTTACTGTCTTTTGTGTCTAGAATTTGGTACGTCCGTGAGGGCTGAGCCCTCTCTAGCTTTATTTTCTGGCTACGCCACCTCTACAAACACCAAAGAAAGCAATTAATCAGTACAATTTATATGTTCAAGAAAATTTTCAAAAAATGAAACAAGCTAATCCATATTTATCTACACCACAATTAATGAGACATCTTAGTACTGAATATAACAAGAGAAATCAACAACAACTTCTTGATTTACCTAATTTAGATCAATTAAAAATTTAATTCATCTTCATAGTCAGATATTATTTTTTTCGTTCGAATTCAATATATCCTTGTTGATGTCAAATATGTTATGTAAATTTTTATACAGATGTATTTTTTTGCTCTGTTCTTATGTATGTGCTAGATAATGACAGTATCAATTCTTTTTTTTTTTCTACATAATTATTTGAATATTGTGAATTGATTATTTGAAAAAAAGACAAGTTCTTGGCTCGAAATTTATAGTAAAATCATTGCTGCTAGAGATGTCCAAATCGACGCAGGCGATGTTTTAGTAATACTGTCGCACAAGCGGTAAATCCGTCTTTAGGAAGATTTTGCAACTGCATGAATTTGAATCCATTGTAAGTGTCTACAAGCCAAAACAATTAGAATCGGATAGATTCAATCTAACTGTGCTAATTCAGTACAGCGATGGAAGAGATATTCAGCCTCGATGGATTTTTATGGTTACTAGTAAGCTTGAGAAAGAGAATAGAAGTTCTTATGATGACGTTTAATCATACATTCATTTAAAGATTATCTTTACTAAATCATTCTTTTTCTGTATGATTCTATCCCTTTTTTATGTTGACTGACAATTTGTAAGTTTATTGTACCGCAAGTACAAATACAAAGAAATACAAATATATATATTAATATCTTTTGTTTTTGCAATTTCATCTGCTGTATTATATTCATGTAAATTGTAGAAACAAGGCACACATTACAAGAACTTGGAGTTTTTAGGATTTTGTGTAAATAAAATATGATTGTTACAAACCTTAAGAAGTGAAATTTTTAATAGTGCTTATAGATGACTTTTTTAATGTTACATTTAATTAAAGATGATTGTTTAAAATTGACTTATTCACGTAAAAAACAATCAATCTATTCATATCGATAATCATAACTGTGATTCAACATTGACTATTCGATTACATTTCATACATATTCATGAACATTTTGCAAAAGCATATGTACAATTATAATTTAAGTGATATTTGAAAAGCTTAGAAGTATAATAGATGGAAATATTTCATTAGTTTTTTATTCTACGATTTTCTTCGAATGAATTCATATAAGATAGATTAAGAAGATTTGTTGTGACATTAGGGTAAACCTATGGCGTACTCTCTTCCATTTATATAATCAACATCAAAGAAAATTCTTTTGTTGCAATAAATATGAAATCGTAAAATTGGCATCACATTTCTCGGATTATTTCTATTGTGTTTATACTTTGTTTGGAAATCTAATATGCTGAGACAAAATAGATTAATTAATGTGACCTACATGCTTTAGTATAGTATTATGAAGAAAAAATTTTTGTTTGAATGGTCAGCTCTACAGATAGTGTCTGATTATATAATAACAATTTCATATGGAAATTTCTTTTGCTTTTGTATTGTACATGCACCTGATATAGGGTTCTTTCACTAACCCTAGTGTTTGTAACAAGGAAACTGTTACAATCTGAAATCAAAGATAATGAATGAAGAATGAAAAACGACAATAATGGGTATCTAAGCATTATTAATGGTGATTGAATCAAAGTAATTGGTTAAGAAAAAGATGATGATAAGATTGATAAAATTAAGTTTATTGATGGATCGAGCTGTTTTTAAGCCGATTAGATGTCCCAAAAAATGCATACACAGTGAAAACAAATCAAGAAACACGAATCCTCTTTTACGATTTCATATTTATTGTAACAAAAGAAAAATACTGAATAATCTTCAATTATTTAAAATAGTATCAGAAAGAAAAAAGATTCTTCAGAAATATAATTTGACACGAACAAGTTCAATCATTGGTAAAGAAGACATTTTTTGATCATGAAAGATTATATATCAATATGCTATTTTACATAGCAAAACAAATCTACTTACGTATTTATTCCTTTAAAAATTGACCTATATTTGCAATCTTTATGTAACAAAAACAGGTTTTTATTGTTTTCACTCATGATAAAAATATTGACTTTTTTGTTTTGTTCATAATTAATTCCATATTTTTACTTTTCACATGATTTATATTTAATCGCACATCTATAATTATGTTGATAAAATTGTATTCATAAAATATTCATCTAATAATTGTTGACTAATTTCGATGAACAATTATAAAGAGAGAAACAGCCCTGAAATAAGATTACTTCTTTTATTTATTTCAAAATGCAAGCATTCATCTATATAGATAAAATTGAGTGAAAGTAAGAATAAAAACTATTCGATATTAGTTACTGTACATCGATCTAAAACAATAATCAATATCATTATTGAAGAATATAGTACATCAACAGCTGTTTATGGTAATGCTACGGTACTAGATCGTCATTCATAATCATTCCCGTATGTTATTCCTTTTCGTTTGCTTGACATTAGTTTCTTACACTGTTGACGGTGTAATGCTAGTTATCGTCATTCTTATTTTCTAAATATTATATATATATATGCGTAGATATTGTGTTCATCTTTGTTTTTTTTTTCTGTTTTATTTAAAATAAAAGAATCTGCTAAATATATCTGTTTCTACTTGTTGCACTTAACTAGATATGCAAACTAGGAGAATAAATATAGTCAACCAGTATTTATACTTATTATAGAAGCATATGTCACTGTTGATGACAAATATTTATGTCATTACAGAATGTCTTCTAGTATCATTCAAATCTATGAGTTTATCATATTTATTTTATTTATTTATTCCGACAGATTATTCGTACAAACTACGACTTCTAAATCTTTCGCATGTTCAAGAGTTCGAGTATCATTATGTTTATTATTTTATGCAAACAGCTGAGCTGTATGTACTAAATGAATTAATATTTAAGAATGACATATTTTGAAAGGGTATTCTGGCGACTAAATTATACCTAAACAAAGATTTAAATGAATAATTAGAATTAGAAGGTCTTGAAGAGAATAACATATGATTGAATGAAAATGATCGATTTATCATCGTTCCAAATTGTCAGAAACGTGCTATCTATTTACATTTTTCAAGTTAATGACAATATACCTATATGAAGATCAGGTTTTATCATTTAGAGTTAATAATTAATATAGAATCTTCACTCAGAAAAATATTATTTATTTGAACATAAATAAAAACAATAGCATACAATAAGAAAAATTCTTCATTTAATTCAGTTCGAGGTTATGTTCATCTGTTTCTTGATTATTAATATTGTAATAATAACTGAAAAAGAATCGTCCAATTCTTTCATCATCTATCCAGTTTGCTTGATCAATAAATTCTTGTTTTGATAAACGTTTATCTCCATTTTTATCAAATTTTTTTAATAAATATTTAACTTGAGCATGAGATGAATATATTCCACATCTTTCATCTTTTGGTAAACCAGATAAATCATATATCGATTCAATCAATTGTTTTAATTCATGTTTTTCTAAATATCTATTTTTAACATTTAAATTAATAAACAAATTAAAACATAAAAAGAATATTTACCCATTATGATTTCGATCGAACATATCAAATAGTAATCCGAAAAAGATTTGTTCGTCATCATTATGGTCATAAATATCATTTGAATATAATTTGTGTGTTATATTTATAAATTCTACAAAATCAATTGTTCCATTACGATCTTGATCGCTAATAATTTTTTCAAAAGAAAAATAAAAAAGACAATTAAAATAACAGATCTTCATCGAAGTCATATTAAGGAGTCGTCAGAGCTCTCTAAATTGTCTATCAGTAAATAAGATTGAGCACTACAATATATATTTTTTTTTTGAATGTTGAGTTTAACTCTTTGATATTCATTATAGAAATTAATGTATTTTAAAGGCTAGAATTCATGTCTCCTCAGAGCTCTGCAAAGTCAAAGTCAAAGTTGGTTTCAACTTGTTCTCATGGATGTCGGATCCGAAAAGACATTAATCGAATTCTAAAAACGTATTCGTTTGTACATCATATTATCAAAGAATAAAAGTTACAATTAAACAAATCTCTTCTGTTAAATTTGATTTATTAGTGAGATATTCAATAATTCCGATGCAAGTCACTAATTAAAACTTACAAAGTAGCAAAAAGATATGAAGCAAATTTATCAATACGACAATCTGGCCAAACTTCATTAAGACTTTCATATAATTGTTCGCGTGTAATTAAACCATTAGGATATTGTTTAAGAAAATCTGAATGTCGATGACGAACTTCAGTATCAATTAAATTTGTTTGACGACAAATTTCAGCTATTTGTTTGGCAGTTAATTCTGTGACTGGAGAAATAATCTTTGATTTACGGTTACCCATAATTTCAAATGAACCGAGTTAGAGAAAGAAAAGAAAGAATAAGACAGACAACGCGTCTTCGCTTACGTCATTCAATTACTGACAAACGTGCACATGTATATTTATTATTTTGAATTCTTACTTGTAAAATCATGCACTGTCAGTTTTTTTATTAATTTAATGTGAAAAGTTCTGATATTCAGGATGGACGTGTTATTTTATCAAATATAAAGTGTGTCTCACAAGTTCTGAAGTAATTTTAAAATACATTATTGTCGCATTTGACATAAGCAAACTCTTTCAAGCTTTGATAAATTATTGTAGTCGTATAGTATTAAATAACTATAAAGTTTGCAATCTATAGCTTTTACTATCGATGAGAACTCACAACAACACTGTCATGTATTATTTTTTCAATTTTCCTATAACTTATATTGATAAAATTCAATATAAAGATCCCTCAATATTCTCCATTTTCTTTTGATGAATAATTAGAGCTCATCACATCACAATCTAAGAATTATTGTAAGAAAATCTATTGTCGTCCAATAAGCAACTAAAGCATTAGGTGATTTAGAAAATGTTATTATTCGAGATGGTTATTATTGTAAGCAGAGTGATGACTGTACATGCATTTAAAAATCAAATTGCAACCATAAATTTTGATGCAAAAATCATTAATGTTTAGCCTATAGAAAACGTTTGGGGTGCATTACAAAAGAAATGACGAGGGAACGAGTACACTCATATTGGAGAACTGACAACGGCATAGAAAGAAAAATTAAAGAAATTTAGTTTTTTTTTTTTATGTCAACCGATGATAGATGATATACTAACACAAATCAAATTAGTAATTGCTCATGATAGCAATCAAATTAATGAATTTTGATAACTTAATATGTTTTTCTGTTTATTTGGAAAAGTTGTACTGTTTTGAGAATGATAATCAAGACGATCAGAAAAGTTGAGAAAATAATACATGATACTATTCTTACGAGTTTTCATCTATAGTACAAGCTATAGATCTCAAACTTTGTATTTATTTAGTGCTATGTGGATACAATAACCTGTCAACGTTTTAAAAAGTTTGGTTATGTCCTGTTGTCTGAATAGTATGATGAAAAATCACAGAGAGAAAAAAATGAATGGTTGAAACATTTATGTTTTCGATTTGGATATAAATGTAATGAATGCATATGCAAATGGTATATTTGCTTCATAATTGAGAAACATGTGTATACGAATAAGTCAAAGCTTACGAAAAATCGTTAACTCTCCATTTATTTCGTTTCAAACAGTGTTGAAAATTCCAGTAATCATAGATTAACAAAAAAATAGTTAAAATCATTTTTATTTAGTACTATCAACAATAAAGTGATGTTTACAGCTAAGATCTTTGATTAAATATTTACATTTTTTCTTTATTCTTTCGAAATGAATTAGAGATAGACAGAAAGCAATATGCGTTTTGAAAAAATGCTTAGCTTGATGAGTTCTATCATGTTATGTGTAAAACATGAAGCTTAGATACCAAAAGTCGATGAAGATGTAAAAAAAATACTTAAACGCTATCGTCCATCAGATGTCGCTTTTAATGATTATTGATAGGATTTTCATTTTATTATTTCTCAAGACAATTTAATAAAATGATTTTAATTATGGATTAGCAAAATTTTTTCAAATCGGTTTCAAAATTGCAGAATTGTTTTGATTTGTTGTATGATATGATCCAATCTAAATGTAGAGAAAAATTGATTAATTAAATGATTTGGACTTCGAGCCATATGTACTTGGTTGTTTTCCATTGAATAGTGTATATCCATTCGTTCATTTATGTTACTTGTCATTTTGAATTCATTGTAATTCAATTATTTTTGTATGTTTTTAATCTTTTCGTACATTTTGCTTATACAAATAATGTGTATGGTTATATTTTTTTCTCATTAATAAATCGTATAAAAACACAATTTTTTTATAAACTAAAAAAGAAAAAATTATGCTCGTATTTTTTCTTTTATTGATCTACTAATTTTATTATCTGACATGTTTACACAAAATGAAGATAAGTACAAGAAATAGGATTGGTTTGTGTGTTTTTTTTGGAACTGAATTAATATATTGATTCGGTAAAGACTAATTCCAAACCAATTACATTTTCTGATTAATATCAGTTTCAGTAACAAACATAAGCTTTGATTTAATACTATATCAAATTTTTAAGAATTCTGAAATTGAAATATATCCGAATCCATCGTTGTGAAGATCGTAAACGACTATATACTAATGTAAACTACTGAATGTGTCCATAGTTAACTCTACCTAACCCAAATATATAAAAATAGGATCAATAAGTAATACCAGACTCTTGACCATAACAGTCATGACTTATAAAATCCTAATAACTAAACCATCATGGGTTAACTCATAGACCTCTATCGTACATCTAAAAGCGTTGGAATCATTAGTAGATGAAGTGTCGAATAATATCTTTGAGAATAGAAGGAAAGAACATGTTTTCAATCAACCAATATATATTGTGTTCTATTGAAATAGAAAAGGTTGTTGACATTAACGACTATTTATAAATAAAGCCAAATATAGTTAGCGGAGTCGTAAATACTTGTAATTTAACGTTTGATAGATGCAGCATGGCGATCATATTTTATCGTGTCGTACACCGTTGATAAAGAAGATCGTCAAACGATCTAAAAATCTAAATATCTAACCATTTACGATAATTTTCCAGGTAGTTATAATGTACCGTTAAGCATCATTTACAATTGCTGTAAATGCTAATTCGAAATGCCTATTGTTTTTCATTATGATTGATAGATATATGGTCGTGAAGGATTGACCTGGATACATATTTTCAGCCAAGTGTACAGAATAAACTATATTTCTTTCTTTTGAGTAATGTAAAAAATAGTGGCCAATGCTTTAGTAGACCAGTAGGCTTTACTTTTTTTTTGTATAATATCATTTGCAGAAAAAATTAAGTATACGAATTATCATGAATAATGATTACTGTAAGGACTGAAAAAGAGATTTTTTTTCATAACTGTTGTTCAATTGAGGAGAACTCACTCTCAAAATAGTAGCAATTATTGACAATATATAACAATTTGAAGATTTAAGTGAGTTAGTTTTTAATGCAAAGAAATTTTTTTGTATTCGACCCGCTACAACAAATCTTTATAGTAAAATATGTGTCTCAAGAAACCAACGAAACTTTCATTTATTATCATATACATTTTGTTTTCTATGACATTAGATTTTTATTTATCGGTCAATTTATGTTAGTTGATTATGTTGTAAAACATCATTCTTAAATAAATATCTATTCGTGTTGTTTATTTTTATTAAATGAAAGCTTAGTCATCTATTATATGTTATGGTATTGTTTTTTTTTTCAGATATAAAAGGATGGCTTCTGCATTTACAGTACGCAAAGGAATGACTCGTATACTTGAAGGAATTATGAAATATCGTCATGCATTAAGACCATCACTTTTAGAAGAATTTAAAAAAGTTGCACTTGGACCTTCTGTACGATTTTTTTATCACAGAAAAACGAAAGATTTATTAATTTTTTTTTTTAGCCTGAAGGACTTCTTTTAACATGTGTTGATACTCGTGTTGTTGCATCTCGTTTAACTCAGGCTGTACCAGGTCAATTATTTTTTGTTCGAAATCCTGGTAATGAACTTTTCTTTAAAGTTGATTTCAATTATTTGTCATGAACATTGTTTCTTTTGTTCTTTAAAGGTAATATAGTTCCTCCTTATGAATATTATAATAATAATTCATTAGTTGGTGGTGAATGTGCCGCATTAGAATTAGCATGCTCAAGAAATAATGTACCGGTAATCGCTGTATTTGGTCATTCAGATTGTAAAGCAATGAATTTATTATATAGAATTCGTAACGAAATATCTACACCATCTAATAGTCCACTTGAACAATGGCTTAAAGTTCATGCTCGAGGAACAGTTGAACAATTTAAAAAATTAGAATCTTCAGGAGATTATAAACGTAAACTTATATTTGCTAGTGCACAACATCATGAAGATGATTTTGAAGCATATATTGATCCTAATGATGAATTTAAACATTCAGACAAATTATCTCAAGTATGAATAATAAAATGTGATTTATTATATGAAGAAAATCTTATATTGTAGGTTAATACATTGGAACAATTGAGACATTTTTTATCATATCCATTTTTACGAGAACGTCTTAATCGAAAAGAATTACAAGTGCATGCGTTATGGACCGATATATACAATGGAGAAGTATATATGTTCTCATTTAAAGAAAAACGTTTTGTAAAAATTGATGACGATACTTATGCAAAACTCACACATGAATGTATCTAGTCTAATTATATTCTCACAAACAATACATTTTCTTTTTGTTGTCTTGTATCTCAATAATTATATATCTATATATTTATTTATTAGTATTCATGTAGTAAAAATAAATAAATAAAACTATAGTTTAGATGTACTACTTATTTCTTTGTATTACACTTATTTTTATAGTCTAATTAAAGGTATATTGTAAAAGAACATTTTAATCTTAACAATAAAATATTTATCATGATGTTATTACTAATCTTTTGCTTACTTAAGAATTTGTAGTTTGGAAAATAGAAGCATGAATGTGTATAGTATACCTTTTGAGTTGATCATTGAAAATGAAATGCACTTCTCTTTTAATCATATTTTTTGTATGCATTATGGTACACTCACGTGTGGATATGTGTACCTCGTCTTTGTTTTTGTCGTCAGAATCCAAACGCAAAGTATAAAAGTGCTTTTTCTTTTCTGCTTTATTTAAGTTCATGCAGTCAATCAGTAGAAGCTTAATATAGTCAGGTAAATAATTGCATGAATATCATATATTTTTATGCTTATAGATGATTATTATTATGATAAATGAATAGAAATTACGAATATATACTTTTAACGCAGAACGAGAATTCATTAAATGAAGAAAATACAGAAAATGAAAATGAACAAAGCTTAAAATGGTTTCCAGATGGGGTGAGCGTCTTTCTCATACTAAAGTCTATCGACTAAAATCAACCAATAAAAAAAGAGTAACATTATTTCCAAAAGCGCAAAATAATCGATGACATCGTTCAAGGTTAGCATTATACACTTAGGTAGTGTGCTTTAAAATATATCAGCTTTTTATCATATAATACGATTAAAGATATGATCAATTTAAATAATCATATTTGATTTTGCATGAGAAAACATACAGATGAATATTTCGTCATTTGATTTAAAATAAAAATGAAAAAAAAGCATATTTGATTTCTAGATAGAATAAATTGATTAGTCATATTTATAAAATAGTATTACTTATCTGATTGTTCATATTGTGGGCTAAAGTGGAGCATGCTTATCGGTCATCAACTATTTCAATGGCTATTAGTACTAT